TGCCCTGTCCAGACTCCCAGCCACCCAGAGGGACGATCAAGCACCCCTCGGTGCCCTTGGTACCGAAGATGAGCTGCTGGTGGCCGTGGTGGAAGCTCCCGGGGCCCCGGAGTCTGTTCCATCTAGTTGGGGGTGGGACCCCGGACGGTGGAGAGAGCTGCAGCAGAGAGATACGGATTTGGGTCAGCTCCTGTTGTACCTCCGACAGGGAAACATGCCGAGGGCAGAGGAAAGACGGTCTCAGACGGTGGGGGTACGACAGCTTCTGAGACAGTGGAAGAGGCTGCAACTCCGAGAAGGAGTAATTTGTCGTTCAAGACGGGATCCCCGCACACAGGAGACTGTACACCAAGTTGTTGTACCAGAGGGCCAAGTTTCGGAGCTGTTGAATGCCTATCACACCCATACTGGTCATCAGGGCCAAGAGAGGACACTGTCCCTGCTGAGGAGGTATTTCCACTGGCCTAGGATGGAAAAGAAAGTTGAGGAATTTGTTCAGAGCTGCCCACGGTGTACCTTGTTCAAACGCAGGAAGGAGGTCCGAGCCCCATTGGTCCCCCTGCGACCGAAAGCACCTCTGCATATCGTAGGGATAGATTTCCTGACTCTGGGTCGACCAACAGACCGATTCCAGAATATTCTGGTCATGACGGACCTATTTACTAAATATGCCTGGGCCGTCCCCACCATCGATCAAACGGCAGTTACCACAGCCAACGCCCTTTGGAGAGCAGTGATACAACCTTTTGGCTGCCCAGAAACCCTACACTCGGACCAAGGTTCAAATTTCGAGTCCCGGGTCATCCAAGAGCTGAGCCGCCTCTATGGGTGCCGATAGACCCATACGACCTCATACCACCCTCAGGGTAACGGAGGGTGCGAAAGATTCAACCAGACCTTGCTGGGGTTGCTGGGGACCCTAGAGAGTGAACAACAGGGCCAATGGGCCGAGAGTCTTCCCTCGCTGTTACAAGCATACAACAACAGTGTGCACAGTGTCACCGGTTATGCTCCTTCCTACCTTATGTTTGGGCGCCACCTCCGCTTGCCTGTGGACTTGCTCATGGGGACCGAGGCTGTGGAAAGAGGGTATAGTACCACTGACTGGGTAAATCGGCACCACCACCAACTGCTCAATGCCTACCGACGAGTCTCAGACCATCTGAGTACAGCAGCCGCCAAGAATAAGAGACTATACGACCGGACTGCCCGAGAGGCCCCTTTGTTACCTGGGGAGCGAGTGCTGGTATGGGACAACCGGCGTCCAGGGAAAGGGAAGCTCAGTGCCCGCTGGGAGTCGACGCCATATGTGGTGGAACAACGACAAGGGCCTGATGCCCCCGTCTACTCTGTACGGCCCGAAGGGAAGCCCGGACCAATACGGGTGCTCCATCGAAACCTGCTCCGTCCCTGCCCGAACTACCCGCAACTAGCGGCTGAGGCTCCAAGTGCACCACCCGCCTTAGAGGCACCTATGATAGGGTGGGCTGTGGTCCCGAGGGACCCTGAGGTTGAAGCCAGAGCGGCTCTGCCCTCGCCACCCCGACGATCTCAACGGAACACCCGAGGACAACCACCTGAGAGGTACGGCGAATGGAATTGAGGGACGCCAGTTCCAGGGACTGGAACCGATTGGCAAGGGGGGATGTCACGGGTGACAAAATCGCTCAGTAACGGAACCTTCTTGAGAGTCCTGAGTTTCCTAGGGGAACGTATTGGGTGCAACACTCCACTACGGTTCCGGGTGTGATGGAAACATGCCCGTACTGATTAGCGCTAATGCATTGCAGGTGTGAGAGAGAGAGGAGCGGCGCTCACACAGGCTTCCTGTTTCATAAGCCACAATATAAAAGGAGCATTTAGAGAGTGTTTGCAGTGCGGTTGGTGGGTGTACAGGTGTCAAGATTCCAAAGGGTTGACAAGAGCAGACATTAAAGTGGGTTGACTCTGGGCAGTGCTGGATACAGGCTTCCTTGGAAAAATCGTTGGAGTGTGGAGATCGCCCATTCGAGTTTGCTGGGTCAGATTGATCGTTTGTGGGAAGACTGCTGGACCGAGCTAGGGCTGGATCTGTGCTGTGGAAGGAGAGAGGAAAGATAAGTGAATTGTTTTCATCTTATGAACATTTGAACCACTTGAAGAGGATACAGTGAATGTGGATCTGACTGTTGGAGGAGCTATGTGTTTCAGAGTGTGATGAGGAGAGAGTACTTTGTACTGTGAAGATCCACACCTGTTCTACTTGCTGTTTGAGCCCAGAAGCATACAGCACCACTGGTAAAGTAACCTTATGACTCACTGTCTCCCTATTGTGAACTGAAGAGAGAGTACTGTGTACTGTGAATATCCTCACCTGTTCTACTTACTGTTTGAGCCCAGAAGTATACAGCAACGCTGATAAAGTAATCGCTTAATCCACTGCTTCATTACCGTGCACCCACGAGAGTACCCTGTACTGTGAAGAATCCTTACCTGCCATACTTACCGTCTGAGTCTGGAAGTCTGCAGCACCGCTGGGGGAAAAGTAAGCTTTTAATCCACTGCTTTATTATCGTGCACCAACGAGAGTACTCTGTACTGTGAAGAATCCTTACCCGCCATACTTACTGTCTGAGTCTGGAAGTCTGCAGCACCGCTGGGGGAAAAGTAAGCTTTTAATCCACTGTTTTATTATCGTGCACCAACGAGAGTACTCTGTACTGTGAAGAATCCTTACCCGCCATACTTACTGTCCGAGTCTGGAAGTCTGCAGCACCGCTGGGGGAAAAGTAAGCTTTTAATCCACTGCTTTATTATCGTGCACCAACGAGAGTACTCTGTACTGTGAAGAATCCTTACCTGCCATACTTACTGTCTGAGTCTGGAAGTCTGCAGCACCGCTGGGGGGAAAAGTAAGCTTTTAATCCACTGCTTTATTATCGTGCACCAACGAGAGTACTCTGTACTGTGAAGAATCCTTACCCGCCATACTTACTGTCTGAGTCTGGAAGTCTGCAGCACCGCTGGGGAAGAGTAAGCTTCTAATCCACTGCTTCATTACTGTGCACCAACGAGAGTACTTTGTACCGTGAAGAATCCTTACCTGACATACTTTCTCTTGGGTCTGGAAGTCTGCAGCACCGCTGGGGAGAAGTAAGCTTCAACCCCCCTGCTCCATCATCGTACATCGACGAGAGTCTCTTGAACTGTGAGAAACCTTTGCTTAATAAAGATTGTTACTCCTTTGAAATTTATCTCTGTCTCCGGGTCCTCTGTTGTGTGCCTGTGGTGTCGGCTCCTCACGGTGGTGACTCAGTTAGAGGGGGGGTGGTTGGTCACCCGAGCGTTCCTCCCCTTGACCTGTGACATTAGTAAAAGTTACACACACATCTATCACATCTTAATGAAATAAAAGAAAACATATAAAAGAAAATAAAAGATTGTATATGAAAGAAAAGAAACATATATGAATGTAAATGCAAAATTAGCCATTACACTGGTCATTCCTAGGATATCGAAGTCCACTAAAGGAGGGAGGGCGTTCTCGCATTTAGCTCCAAAACTCTGGAATAGCCTTCCCGATACGGTCCGAGGCTCTGAGTCGCTGACACAGTTTAAAACTAGATTAAAGACGCATCTCTTTAGTCAAGCATTCACATAATGCTTACCTTTTAGTACTCTGTTATGCCATACGGAACCGTTTGCCACTGAAACGCATTTCCGCGACAGTAGGGCTTAGCCAAACGGGTCGGCGCGTATGGTTGGGTTGCGGAGAGTTCAGGTTACGGAGAGTTTGTGAGATAGTGGTTTCTAACACCGACTCCCGTATAATGGAAATCATTATGAACATCAGCTATGCTAATTATTTCCCATCTGCCTTTCTGCTGTTAAAAATGGCGTTCGTCAGGTCCAGTTTTGTCTCCAGCCTCTCACGGAGATTTCGGATGTCCCAACGCCTGTGATGAGAAGACCAACGCCTGTGAAGAGACGACTCAACGCCTGCGATATGTTATGGCGCCGTTTTATACATAAACAATATTTATATTTAATATTTATATATAAACAATATGAATGTAAGCCAGAGGAGAACTGGCCCTCGACTGAGCCTGGATTCTCCCAAGGTTTTTTCTCCATCCAATCTGATGGAGTTTTGGTTCCTTGGCACTGTCGCCTTGCTTTTGGCTTGCTCAGTTGGGGTTATTTATTTAGTGTTTAGCAATATTATTGATCTGTGTTGTACTACTTTAATGTTATCACTGTGAAGCTGCTTTGATACAATCTGTATTGTGAAAAGCGCTATATAAATAAATGTGACTTGACTTGACTTTCAAAATGCTTTGAAATCACCCTCTTATTTTTAATAATAATTTGCTTTAAACTTCATCTGTATAATGTAAATACACGGCAGATGAAGATCTGTGAATGGATTCTTGATATCTTTGAAACTCTTGCCGTGGCAACGCATCAGACTTTACCATTCTTTTAGGATGCTTTTGAGACCCTTAGCATGCTTCAAATTGCATGAAACTCGACAGACACATCACATTTATTAGCCAGTAGACATGTGCAAAGTTTCAGAAACGGGCGTGGTGAGGGCTCAGTAGTGCCACCTTTTGACAAAAGTGGGGTTGTTAGTTTTAACTAGAGTTACAAAAATTGGTATGTATATTGTACTCCTCGAGCCGGACAACTTTCTAATTTACACTTATTAGCTAGGACCCACAAAAAGTCAGATATTTTTGTTTGAATATGGTCATGCTCACTCTGAGCCTACATGTCTCTGTGTCTCTGTAGCCCCTTTCACACAGTGCAACACAGTCTCATGAAGATGCGTATCTATACCACGAGTGTCATTTCTCGTGGCATTTATACGCCAAAAGTGTTTTTTTCGTTTATATGGTACGCACTAAAAAACCCTGGGTTAGGTTTAGGGGGGAGGGGGGTGGGGAGTTCGTGCGTATTATACGCAAAAAAGTGCGTATCATATGTGTGACGGGTCACTCCATTCTACTGTTGCTGCCACACATCACCACGGACAATCTCTTGGATCAGGTTTCTTTATTGCTGAAACACAGTATGACAGTGTTGAATCTTGGTTCAGCAATTAGATCTCGGGACAACAATCCATTATCTCTTCATATACAGTGTGGGTTAAATGCTATACAGATACAGGAATGTATTTGTGCTAGTTACAAATGTATATGATACTTCTAATGGGGTATAAACCAAATTAGATATCAAACATATTCACAACAAAAATGCATAGACTTGCATGTCTATGAAATAAAATAAAACTGTGTAATCGTATAGTGGTTTTAGAATATTTAGGCTGAATTATAATCCCTACATACTACATACAGTACATTTCAGCATTACAATCATGAAACTGCTTGATCCATTTTATATTATATTGAAATAACAAAATAAGGAACATTATCATTGCAAACACAGCAGTCGAGCACATGTTCGACTAATCTCAAAACTACCACGCTGGTCTGCAAGATAACTAAACTCGATTTGCATACAACAAATAACATGACAATAAAATCGTTTACACAACATTAGATTATTACCTGAAACACAGTATGACAGTGTTGAATCTTGGTTCAGCAATTAGATCTCGGGACAACAATCTAAATAGCATGTAAAGCAAGTGACAATTAGCACGCTAGTTCACGTGTAAATTTGCTTGGTCGCAAATCTCTAAAACATGGCTTTACACGACACATAAATCATCAAATAAACTCAAAATGGTTAACTGAAATCATTATAAGTACATTGTGTGACAAAATACGAGACATATGTACTTAGAATTATAAGAAAACATTGATTGTCCCAGACCTCCCAAATTGCGTGACTTACCCATTATCTCTTCATATACAGTGTGGGTAAGTACAGCGCAATTCCCACAGTCATACTGAATCAAACTGCCCCCAGATGGCGTAGTTGCATCACTTTTAATATAATTTAACTAGCAACTCTTTTTACTCCGTTACATACACCCCCCTTAAATTATGTTAAAATTGGGCAACATCCATGAAAATCTGGTAGACAGAAAGAAAGGAAAGGACCAAAAACAAAATAAAAAAAAAATGTGTATCCCGAGCACTGATGTAACAAAATCTCAATATCAAAAATCCTTCCATAAGAAGTGCGTAAACACAGGGTGGTACCAAACCCCGTATTTATCACAGAGAAACAGAGATGCCATCTACACCTCACAGTGTTGTACATAACTTTGCCCTTACAGTTTGGATAATGTCAGGAAATAATCACGGATCATAGATCAGGCTGACAATGAGGGAAAGGGGGAAAAAAAAAAACACACAAAAAAAAAACAAAAAAACAACCAAGAGCAAAGTCTAATTGAACATACTAAACTCCCATCGATACTGCAATGAAACTAAATGCAGACCCTAAAATGGGTTCAGTATTCCCCAACAATCTTTGGCCTGACATCTCACAAATAAGCCTATTTGGATTCCTAACACGTCTTCCACATCTGGTGACAACTGAAGGGGCTTGTGTGTTAGGAGGGTGCGCACAAACAACTTGGTCTGGTCTAACCTCCACTAGATGAGAAGTGTCACTAAGGGCAACAGATCTATCAACAGGTAAGTGTGCAATGTCGTATACTAGGTCTGGTGACTTGTCAGTGTGTTCATGAGTGATTTGGTCAGATACAGAGTCTTCAAGAACAATGTCCTGCTGTATATCTGACTGATCATCTCCAGAGGCATCTGCGGATAAGGCCTTCTCAACGTCTTCCTCAGAAACACTCTCACTCTCCACTTCCGCTAAGACCGGCGACTGCATGAGCCAGTTCATGGTGCGCATCTGAGAATCCTCCTTATCAGCCACTTCCACAGAGCTCTGTGCACCAGCACAACAGTTATCAGACTGTGACTCCTCAAGGGATGCCAGGTTCCCTTCCTGTCCAGGGAATGTCAGGAAATCTACAGGGAGCAGCAGGTTTCTGTGTACGACTTTTTCCTTCCCTGTGACAGTATCTCTGATTCGGTACACATTGACTGTGGATCTCACAGACACCACATCGTAAGGAGTTGAGTCCCACCTGTCTGCGACTTTCCTCTTTCCTTTCTCGCCACGTTTGGCCAGCAATACGCGCTCGCCCAGAGCCAACGGTATTCCTCTGACCTTTCGGTTGTATATTTTGGCATGACGGGCTTGTTCTCCTGTTGCATTCTTTTGGGCAATCCGCGCTGCTTCAGATAAATCCCTCTTAAGGTTGTGCACGAACTCATGGTGGCTGACAACATTGGCGTCCTCCAGAACATGGTGAAACATGATATCAACAGGCAAGCGTGGGATCCGCCCAAACATCAGGAAAAACGGTGCAAAGCCTGTCGTCTCATGCACCGTGCAATTATAACAGAAGGTCAGCATTTGGAGCATCTGTGGCCACCTGGACTTGCACTTTGGAGGAAGGGCTCTTATCATGCCTCCAAGAGTTCTGTTGAACCTTTCCGCAATGCCATTGCCCATGGGATGATACGGAGTCGTATGGGATTTGTGCACACCTGCCATCTCCAGTAGATCTTTAAGAAGCCGGCTCTCAAAGTTAGCTCCTTGATCTGAATGGATTCTTTTCGGGAACCCATAGATGCAGAAAAATTTATCCCAAAGGCATCGGGCAACTTGTTTTGCAGACTGGTTGCGACAGGGGAAAGCAAGAGCTAGCTTTGAGAAATGGTCTGTGACAACAAGAACATCAGTAGTCTTCTTGTCACCCAATTCCGCTGTCCAAAAATCGATGCAAATCAGTTCCATGGGAGCTGAGGTACGGATATTCTCGAGAGGAGCTCGGGCGTCTGGCTCAGGAGTTTTCCCTAAGATACATCTCTGACAGTGCTTCACATAACTCACAATATCTCTCTGCATGCCTGTCCAAAAAAATCGTTCACTGGCCAGAGAGAGTGTTCTTGAGCGGCCCTGGTGACCAGCTATATCATGAACTCCATGAAGCACTTGTTGTTTCAAAGCTTCTGGGGTGACAAACTGAAAGATCTTCCTGTCCATGTGACGGTCCCTCTTCACTCTGTAGAGGAGTCCATTGCGCACCCTCAACTTCTTCCAGTGTTTCAACAGCCTGAGTACTGGGCTCGGCTCACCTGCTCTCTCGCGACCATTTGGCTTCCTATGCCGCTGTACATACAAGAGGACTCTGCTGACTACAGCATCTTGCTGTTGTAGATTGTGCAATTGGCTGAGTGGAATGGCAATGGATGGATCTTCCCCAGGCAGTTGCAGTGACTCTGGGCCTGTGCAAAACAGCTGAGAGACCCCCCCAGTGCGATGGGCATCCATGACTGCTGACACCTCCTCAGCACTGATCGCACCTCCAAAAGGCAAACAGGGATCCGGTTCGGGACTCAGTACTTCATCAACATGGTCATCGGTAGTCTGAACAGCTTGACAATTGGTAGTCATCCGAAAAGCATCTTGCACTGTGCCGGTGACAACTCCATTGACTTCATTCAACAGAGACAAGTAAGGCTGTTTCATCAAACGATGACTCACACAGGACTGGACAAAAGGTTCGCGGCTTAGGGCATCTGCAACGGTATTCTTCGGTCCTGGGACATACTTCAAATCAAAGTCATATGCAGCTAGTTTCGCCACCCACCTCTGCTCACATGCATCTAACCTGGGTTTCGTTAGAATGTATGTCAAAGGGTTGTTGTCAGACCATGCAGTGAAGTGCACACCTTTTAGCCAGTGGGAGAACTTGTCACATATAGCCCACTTCAAGGCAAGGAATTCTAATCGATGCGCTGGGTAGTTCAATTGGGCATGTGACAGTGTTTTGCTAGCAAAGGCTACTGGCCTTGCAACCTCTTCACCAGGCTGAAGCTGGGAGATGACCGCACCAATCCCATCAAACGAAGCGTCTACTGCCAGGATGAATGGCTTCCCAAAGTCAGGATGGGCTAACGTCACAGTGTGTAACAGATCATGCTTTAAAGTATCAAAGGAATCCTGACACTCGGGGGTCCAGTCTTCTGGCGTGAGCTTCACAGGACTGCAGGACTTTTTCTTAGGTTTCCTTCCTCTCTGAGCTTTCCCCCCATTGTTCTGTTCTGAGATGAGCTTGAAAAGGGGTCTGGCCTTAGCCGAACACGCTGCAATGAAATGTTGATAGTATAGCACCATCCCTAAGAAGGACCGAATCTTCTTCTGCGAAGGAGAGACCCCGTCACTGTCCATCAGATCAGACACTTGTATCCGGCCAATGGCTTCCACCTTTCCAGGGTCTGTCTGCACTCCCGACTCAGTGATGACATGGCCCAGAAACCTTACTGTTCTCCGCAGAAAGTAGCACTTTTTCGGAGCCAACTTGAGGTTGTTGTTCTTCAAACGAGAAAAGACAATCTCCAAACGCTCAAGTGCTAGCTGTTCAGTAGGAGCAAAGACCATGAGATCATCCAGGTAACATAGGAGACTGGTGAAATTCTCATCTCCGAAAATGGAAAGCATCATTCGCATGAATGTTGCTGGACTGTTTGACAGGCCTTGAGGCATCCGGTTGTATTCATGAAGACCAAAGGGGGAAGAGAAAGCAGTATACTTCCTATGGTCTTCATGTAAAGGCACATTGTAAAACCCAGAGGTCAGGTCCATGGTAGAAAAGTAGACATTTCCGCCAAGTGCAGCGAGAGCATCGGCCTGGTGAGGCAGTGGGTGTGCGTCCTTAACTGTCCTTGCATTAAGCCATCTAAAGTCCGTGCAAATGCGCAGATCTCCATTTTTCTTCCACACAAGAACAAGTGGCGACGCATACTCACTGTTGGATTTACTAATAATGCCCCTTTCTTCCATATCATTGAGAGCTGTTCTTAGCTTTTCATAGTGATTTGGCGGCACTCTGCGGTAAGGCAGGCGGAATGGCTTTTCATCCACCAAATGTATCTTGTGCACAAAGTCAGATGCCTCTCCACAGTCCAACTTGTGCCGCGAAAAGATTGTCTCATATCTCTCAATGATCTGAAAGAGCCTGTCTGTCCACACATCAGAGACTTCACATGCATCCAGATCCAGGTCATGAAGACCAAGCTCATCCAATGCTTTCTTAATATCTCCTCTGGACCTTGTCGTAGAAGCACCTGCCACAGCTTGGGAGGAAACTTGAACGCTGTCAGGCTGAGATAAGTCTTCGGCAGCGATGCAGGGAGACACATCTGCTAATTTTGTGTTTCTCTTTAACACTACCAGCTCAGCAGTGGGGTTCATGATCTTCACTGGCAGCCATCTGTCGCCCCACATCGGTGTAACAACTCTACCAACCAAAACCTTTCCTGGCCTGCATCTTGATTGAGTTGGTTCTACAACCACTGTGCTGCCTGCTGATATAGGTGCCGATGCAGGCAGTTTGCCCCACACAAGATGCTCACTCTCCGGTTGTAGAGTCACACACTGTTGCAGCTTCAGCGTACCAATCTTGACAGGTATTGTGTCACCTCTCCATTTCTCCATATTTGAAAGAACAGAGAAGAAGTGATGACAATCCTCATCAATGCCACCACTAGGTTCAGACATCAACCGCCAATAGCTGTCAGACTTTCTCATGAAATGAAGGATCTTCTTAATAGCATTGCTACCCAATATCACTTCATCAGTCTGGCCAGGCACCACAAGCATTGGGATGACCATTTTGCAATCGTACACCACCACATCCACATCATATATGGCTTTAGGTGTGACTTGTTGACCGCCACATCCGATAATGATGATCCCATCAGCAGAATATTTTCTCAGGCCTGAGTTATGCTGCAAGAGGCGTGCTTCTGCTGCTTCGCTCAGTGTGCATGCCATGGAACCACTATCTATCATTGCTTTCAGAGTTATGTTCGCTGCTGAGATAGTGGTATA